GTGCGATGGGGCGGGGTGGCCTGTGGCGGTGGCTGGGAGGAGGGGACCGATCGGACAGAACAGGGGGGGAAATCGTGACGGGAGAGAGAGAAGCTGAGGGTTTTAAAAAAATCCTGATTTTCCAAAATTACCATTTTGCCCTTGAGCGTATTTTGACCGTAATTCCTTCGTTAAAATTCCGATTCGAGCTTAATACGTGTCTACGGACTCGTTTCGTCGCGCTCTACGCAACGGTGTAAGTGAAACGGTCAAATTCTTTCTCAGTCAAAAGGTCAACCTTTTCCTCAATAAAATATTCTAAGGGCATTTTAGTCTTTTCCTCTAATAAATTAATAATTAAGTATTAATTTTAGGGTTGGGTTGTTACATGTGTGATGTGTAATATAAAGGACCAATAATGTCAAAAAAAAAATATAATAAAGGACCAAAGCACTGGCGGACCTAGAAATTTTTTAGCGGAGGTGCAATATTGACTAAGTATGAAAAATGATTTTTCGGAATAATCATTTTCTCAAGATAATTTTTGGCGGCTTTTATTCCTTACACATCAAATAAGAAAACTTGATTTTATGGGATTTTAGTATGAAGTATATATTGACTTAATGAGCCATCATTTTTAGCCTAAATCGTATTTTGCACTAAAACTGAATTTTCATATTTTGATTTGGTGGGAATTTGATTTTCTAGTATTTTTATTTGAATCCAAATGGGGGGTACTTCCTTATTTACATTGTAAACTTAAGTAAATGGAGTAATATAAAAATAAATAAAAGTAAAAGAACAAAGACATTTACTTAAATGTTGAAAATGGAAATAAGGTAATATGTACACCACTTGAGCAAAGGGGCAATTTGAAGCACCTACAATGATTTTTCCGGCGAAGGGAGGTGCAGTTGCACCTCCTTGCGCCTTACTAGATTCGTCAGTAGACCAAAGGTGATAATTTGACAAACCTCGAAGACCATTTGTGATAAAAATCCAAAAAACAAAAAGCCTTGGTAATTTAAAGAGTTTTAAGCAGGAAAAGATAAAGATAAATGAGGACGTGAGGATGTTGTGTCAAAGTGTCGGTGTTGTGGGAGCCACAGATTGCAAGGAGATTTGTCAGACCAAAAAAATTTCTCCATCCGATGCAACAACATAATCTTTTCCGTTTACAATATGTGGAATTCCTATTCTATTCTAATTCTAATGTCGAATTTTTCTATTTTTCGGTCGTCATCATTTACGCCATTGTTTTTAGCTTGTAAGCAACCAGAAGCGCTTTCGTTTACGCGAAATCAAAGCCTCTGCTTTCTTACAATCGACCAAAAAAATTTCGAAGTTTTGTTACGTCTCTTTTTCTTGGCGTTCCATCTCGTTTGCCACTTTCCTGAAATAGCAATATAAATAGAAGTTTCCAACAATCTATATAGTTTTGTCGGATAGGTCGCGGAGTGGTCTCTCCGCCACCTTATCCGCCTTTAATAAAAGAGATTTCCATATCCAATTCAAACCCATCAGAGCGGCGTCACCATCACGTTGATATCTTTATCCATTCACAATTCCCAATACTTCCCATAAATCCCATCCAATCCCATCTTTCGATGTATTGGGTTCCATTTATTGAAGTTCGTTTACCTGTTAATTGTTGCTTGGAATTTCAATCTCTTGGGGTTCCTTTAGCAGGCAGTGAGAAACTTGGGTTCTGATCTGAGAACCGATTTGGCTGTTAATTTGATTGCTCCTGAGAATTTGAGGCAAAACCCAGTTGGGTTTCTGATTTGGGAGGTGGGTTTTTGTTTGGTTTGCTGATCAAGTTTTCTGGGTTGAATTTTGTGGATTTGAAATTCTTGGGGTTCCTTGGGGCTTGGTTGGGCAGGTTTTGGAAACCCACCAAGCTTTTGAGCTGGTGGGTGTTGGCAATTTGAGGATTTGGGGTCAAAGTTTTGGAGGGGGATTTCTCCGGAATTTGGAAACCTTCAAGATTTAAAGCGGTTGGAGAATTTGGTAACTGATATTTAATTTCCAATTAGGTTTTGTTTGGTTTGTTGGGTACCTTTTTATTTCATTTGAGCTAAAGCTTGAAGCAATAGATAAATCTTAATTGAACTTTTGGAATCATATCTCATTGAATTCTATTTTAATTCTGTCTGATTCAATTTGAGATTCTACTGCAAGGACTCGTTTGTCATTCAATTGCCCTCCTCATTCTTTTGTAAACTTGGAGACCTAAAACCACATTTGTAGTTATAAGAGCTGTTGTAGGTTTTATAACCCTTCAGCTTTGTTGACCAAGGATATATACCTTTGCTACAACGACAAAAATACAGACATTTTACTTACTCCAAAGAAATGGATATAAGCAATGAGGCCAGTGTTGATCCATTTCCTATTGGACCTTCAACCATTGTTGGTCGGACTATTGCTTTCAGGGTTTTATTTTGCAAGTCAATGTCACAGTTGAGGCAACAATTGTTTCATACATTGTTGCGTCTTATCTATAGATGCAGGGACTTTTTGGCTCCCATGTTCTCATGGTTGCATCCTCGAAATCCACAAGGGATATTGGCAATGGTGACAATTATTGCTTTTTTGTTGAAGCGATACACAAATGTAAAAGTCAAGGCTGAAATGGCTTATCGGAGGAAATTTTGGAGAAATATGATGAGAACTGCATTGACTTATGAGGAGTGGGCTCATGCTGCTAGGATGCTTGATAAAGAGACCCCAAAGATGAATGAATCAGACCTTTATGATGAAGAAGTAGTTAGGAATAAGCTTCAAGAGCTCCACCACCGTCGTGAAGAGGGTTCTCTCAGAGATATAATGTTCTGCATGCGAGCAGATCTTGTTAGAAATCTTGGTAATATGTGCAACCCTGAGCTTCACAAGGAGAAACTTCATGTTCCCAAACTCATAAAGGAATACATCGATGAGGTCTCAACTCAGTTGAGAATGGTCTGTGATTCAGACTCAGAAGAGCTCTCATTGGAAGAGAAGCTTGCTTTCATGCATGAAACAAGACATGCTTTTGGGAGAACTGCCCTGCTCTTGAGTGGGGGTGCTTCTCTTGGATCTTTCCATGTGGGTGTGGTTAAAACGCTGGTGGAACATAAGCTTTTGCCAAGAATAATTGCTGGTTCTAGTGTGGGGTCCATTATGTGTGCTGTTGTTGCCACTAGGTCTTGGCCTGAGCTCCAAAGTTTCTTTGAGGATTCTTGGCACTCATTGCAGTTTTTTGATCAGATGGGTGGGATTTTTACAGTTGTCAAGAGGGTCATGACACGCGGGGCAGTTCATGAGATCAGGCAGTTGCAAATGATGTTAAGACATTTAACGAGTAATCTTACGTTCCAAGAAGCTTATGACATGACAGGTCGAATTCTTGGGATAACTGTTTGCTCCCCAAGGAAGCACGAGCCACCTAGATGCCTTAACTACTTGACTTCACCTCATGTTGTTATATGGAGTGCAGTGACAGCTTCTTGTGCTTTTCCAGGCCTTTTTGAGGCTCAGGAACTAATGGCAAAAGATAGAAGTGGAGAGATTGTTCCTTATCATCCTCCATTTAATTTGGGTCCAGAGGAAGGGTCAATGCCAGTGCGTAGATGGAGAGATGGTAGCTTGGAGATAGATTTACCTATGATGCAGCTGAAAGAACTGTTCAACGTTAATCATTTTATTGTCAGTCAGGCAAATCCTCACATTGCACCATTGTTAAGGCTAAAGGAATTTGTAAGAGCTTGTGGAGGCAACTTTGCTGCCAAGGTATGTATTGATAGACCTCAATTCAGATTCTTTTTAAAATTATTGTCTTTGTCCTATGGTTTTAGTTGTCTGTGTAGTCTTATTTTTCTCGTTACGAATATGAAAAGTCTTAGCCTTATCAACTTGTTTCTGCCTTCTTACTGCTTTTCTCTGTTTTTCTTCCATGCCTAACAACTTCGTAGAAATTAGAAGAAAAAAGTGAAGTTTTCCTGTAGCTGGTGAAATGTTGTATGATTCTCCAAGCCGGTTTGGATTTCTCTCAGTTGGGATACCAGCTTATGATAAATTCTTGGCTGCATCACCAACATGTGGTTTGGATTTCAGTAAGAGAAATCCATTTAGTTTCAACTTGAGGATAGAATTTACTGGCTTAGGAAATATTTCTTTTGATCTCAGCATCAGACCACATCTTTATGGACTCCAGTTCCAATGGCTTTGCCAAAAACAATCTTGATAAATTACAGTGGTCTATCGTCTTGGTTTATCAGCAAGCACCTTATTGAAAGGAATAGACATTGAGCTAGGATTGCTTATCTGTTCTTGCACACTGGTTGTAATATCGTATTTGGATTCTGTTACATGATTTTGTTACTTTGACATTCTGATGACATGAGAATTAATCCATTTTAGTCTTGAACTGTGTAGCTTGCTCATCTTGCTGAGATGGAGGTGAAACATAGATGTAACCAGATCCTGGAACTTGGTTTTCCATTAGGTGGACTTGCGAAACTGTTTGCTCAAGATTGGGAGGGTGACGTTACTGTTGTTATGCCTGCCACACTTGCTCAGGTACGGGGAGAAAGCATTAACTACTGAATTAGGCTTGGTCATTATTTCAGGGAACCTTACATTATAGTACTTGCTTAACAAATTTCTTAAAGTATAACTAACTTTGGATTGGTTAAATTGAACAAAGTATTACAAAATTAAGTTTTTTTGGAGTATTTTGAATTTTTTGTTTTTCTCTTGTGGACCAATTCGAATAATCCTTTAGATGGAGACTAACTAGCCATTTGTTTTCCTGACTTATTTACCAGTACTCAAAAATTATACAAAATCCAACATATATTGAACTTCAAAAGGCAGCCAACCAAGGTAGAAGATGCACTTGGGAGAAGCTCTCGGCCATAAAAGCAAACTGTGGCATTGAGCTTGCTCTTGATGAGTGTGTTGTAATTCTCAACCACATGCGCAGACTCAAAAGGAGTGCTGAAAGAGCTGCAGCTTCTTCTCATGGCCTAGCTACTACAGTCAAATTCAGTGCATCAAGAAGAATTCCTTCTTGGAATTGTATTGCTCGTGAGAATTCAAGTGGTTCCCTTGAAGACTTTGGAGATGGTGCTTCCTCAATCCATCAAGGTATTGGTGCATCCACCAGTGCAATTCCTTCTGTAAAAAACTTTCAAACGCACCGCAATATACATGATGGAAGTGACAGTGAATCTGAGAGCGTTGACGTTAATTCTTGGACAAGATCAGGTGGACCTTTGATGAGAACAACATCAGCAAATAAATTCATCGACTTTGTCCAAAATTTGGACATTGATGCTGAACTGAACAGAAGTTTTCTGGCTATTCCTAACTCAGCGACGCTTCAGATGGGAGGCAATAATCAGTATTATCAAAGCCCAAGGGGTACAACACCCGACAGAAGTCCCGAAAGCACTAAATTCGATAAGAGGGATTTTGGAAATATGGTTTCAGTAAATGGTTCGAGCATTATGGTGACTGAAGGTGATCTTTTGCAGCCTGAAAGGATACATAATGGGATTGTATTCAATATTGTGAAGAAAGAAGACTTAACATTGTCAAGTAGGAGTAGTCATGACATGGAAAATTATGGCAGTGAAGTTGCTGAATGCGTACAACTTGATTGTCCGGAAAAGGACATGGATGCTAGATCTGCATCTGAATGCGGTGATGCTGATATCACTTCAGACATCTGCTTAGAAGAAACGGCACCCAATTGCCTGTCGACGGATCAACCTAATGTAGATGATTGTAATCATCAGAGCATTGTGGATGGTTGATTTTAACATCTGTTTTGCTAAGAGATTTATTAAACAATTAGGTACAATTATTGACAGAATGAGGAGTTCATACTTTTTCCAGATTGAAATAAGTACTAAGAATACTGCTTCAAGGCTACATGTTAGCTTGGCTCAGTAGCTTCTGCAGTACCTTGACAAAGAACTTGATTCTGAATTCTGCACCCATGAAGCCATTGACTCTGTAAATTACTTGTGTACACAAATGAGATTCATATGGCTCGATGAATGAAAAAATCTCTCTCTTTCTCTCTCTCTCTCTCTCTCTCAGTTTGATTATATATGTGAAACCATATGTCTACTGAACTTGTGAAGTTGCATCGGTTAAGTTTCTATTATATAGATTCCTACAGAACTAGTGCATTGAAGTTTTGACTCTTGATAATTCTAATATTGTTAGTGTTTTGAAGTTTGACAATTAATATTATCAAAGGGAGAAGAATGACATGTATTCTCTGATTATCTGTTAAATGTCTGTTAAAAAAATAAAAATGAACTGAAACGGAAATCTCTATTTCCTGATCTTATTGACATGGTCTTTTGACCTTCACAAATCAGAGTTTATATTGTGTTTGTTAGTTGTTTTATTCAATTTAGAAACGCCAATTCATGAGAAAATGCCTTCTTGATTGCATACTCCCAATCTTGTGTATCAGTTTTCTGTGATTATTTGTTTTGAAACCAGACTCAGTTTATTGAGAATTAGATTCTTTTTACATTTGTGGAGAAATTAAATTTGATTATTCTATTTTCTTCCTGTATGAACATAAAATAGATAGTGTGGGAACCTAATTTTAAGCAAACCCTAGGTCAAATATTTCCTTCCATTTGGGGAATATTTGATTTGGGAATTCTTGCTTTGATTAGGGATTTGATTCGCATTAAATCCCTAATTGATTTAAATCTCCTAAAATCAGAAAAATAATTCCTTTCCCAACAAGGACCATTTTTCCCCAAACCCTAACCCTCCGAGACCACTATAAAAGGATGGTCACGCACAAGGGTTGAGGTACGTTTGAAATCTCTGGGTGTGGCCCTCTTATTTGTTCTATTTTGTAGGGAGAAAGTGGCGGTGAAGAAGAGAAGAGAATCTTCCCAATCGAATATTCTCGTGGGGAAATTTGCTCCCACAAATTGGTGCTTTCATTGAGAGCACGAAATATACTCAAAGCGTGCTCCAAACCTATTTTTTCAATCCACCGAAGCCTTCCAAACAACCATGGTTGGAAGCAAACACCTTAGGAGCAAAACCACCGAGACTGCGCACTCCGGAACGGCCGAAGCCTCGCTGCCACCACGAGGTACAGCTGCTGCCAGCGATTTGCAGCAACCTCCCATCGCTGCCAGCACGTTCCAGCAGCTTCCCGGCAAGATCCAGCAACATCCCATGGCTGCCAGTGCTTTCCAGCAGCTCCCAGGAGACTTGCAGCAGCCTCCCATAGCTGCCAGCGCGTTCCAGCAGCGCCCCGGCCAGTTTCAGCAGCCTCCCATGGCTGCCAGCGCATTCCAGAAGTTTCCCAGCGAGCTCCAGCAGCCTCCCATGGCTGCCAGATCGTTCCAGCAGCGCCCCGGCCAGTTTCAGCAGCCTCCCATGGCTGCCAGCGCATTCCAGAAGTTTCCCAGCGAGCTCCAGCAGCCTCCCATGGCTGCCAGCGCGTTCCAACAGCTTCCCGAAGATTTCCAGCAGCCTCCCATGGCTGCCAGCGCGTTCCAGCAACTTCCCGGAGGGTTCCAGCAGCCCCTCGTGGCTGCCCATGCTGTCCAGCCACCTCCGGCAGCTACGCAACCTCTCCAAAAAACTGCTATAGCAACCGGAACACAGCAGCAGCTGTGGCATGTGGCTGCGGAAATTGCAGCGCAGCCACGCAGCCCCGTGGCCTCCTCCGTCATGCAACCCCAAGGCCTAGGTGCCGGTGCCACCACCCATGATAGTGCCGCCATTCGTGACCACCTCAATGCCATCTCGGGCCATTCCCTAGTCTTGGAGCAAATCCATTCACTCCCTTCTTTGCAACCACACTTGACGTATGGGTACACATCTAATGGAACCCTAGCCCATCTGCCATTGGGCCTGATCCACACCTCTGCTCCCGACCCACGCAGTCAAGTGAGCCTTAACTCACGAGTTGATCAGCTTACACAAAGGGTCGATGACCAAAACAAATGAATTGGCCAGCTATTCAGGCAGATCAACTTGGGTCAAGACTTTGGAGCCCATGACGAGGAGAGAAGGATCCGCGAGCATACCGGCGAGCATTTTGAGGGATCCCAGACTAGACAATCAGAGACAAACTAGCAGGGGAGAGAACGAGAACGAGCTGACGAGATGCAGACATCTGCAAGCCATACTCTGAGCCGATCGAGGATCCATTCAAGACTAGGCTCACAGGGGCACGAGTCCATGAACGATTGCGTGACGAACACAACGACCGATGTTCACTAACCCGCTCAAGAACCAACTCGAGCGACAACTCGTTGAGGAATCTTGGCAAGCTCAATCCACCAATCTGCCTCACAAGCAGGGTAACCAAGGAGGTCAACTTCTTCAAGTCGACGAGGAAGTCAACCATCCCCGCCTGAATCACGAGGGTCGCCAACGTGATCGGCAAGCCATGCATGTGGAGGACATCGAGAACTTCGTAACTTAAAGATTGGTGGAAATTTCGAAGATGCTCTACGCAGGGAGGTGGACCAAGCAAACTATACGCACTACCAAAATCGAGCAAACTGCTCGCTCAAAGAGATTCTCAATGCCTTAATTCAAGCATTTCAAAGGGGATTCCGATCCCGAGAGCCATCTAAAGCACTTCAAAAGTATCATGATCTTCTACAAGGCTAACGATGCTCTGATGTGCAAGGTGTTTGTAATGACCTTGCTAGGAGCAGCCCAAGACTGGTTCCACACCCTGCCATCCAGGTCGATCAGCAGCTTCAAGGAGCTAGCTTATGTCTTCAACAAAAAATACACTTCTTACCGGACGATCAAGAAAAACTCGGACCACCTATTCAGCCTGCACAAGAAGCACGATGAATCCCTCCGAGATTACATCAAGAGGTTCAAAGCAGAAAGGGCAAACATCATTGGATGTGACGATCGAATTGCGTCATCAGCCTTCAAGAAGGGCTTGCCAATTGAGTGTGAGCTATACCGCGAGCTGACCATCTCTCCCTGCCAAACACTAGTAGAATTCTTCACGACAGCAGAGCGCTATGCACTTTGGGACGATGATCGGACCGCTGCAAAGAAAGCTGCCAAGCAAGCCGATCAACCGGTTGAGCAGGCAAGCCAAAGAAACGACATGATAAAAGACAAGGATGGAGTAAGCGCGGATTACAGCCTCAGGGAGGTGCTCCAACAGTTGAGAGCCACACCAAGTCCACTATTCCGATACAGCAGATCCTAGCACAAGTAAAGAACATGCCTTGGTTGAAGAAACCATCGCTTTTGAAAGGAAACCTAACAAAGAAGGATACTAGTAGATACTGCGAATTCCATTAAGTGCACGGTCATTACACAAATGACTGCTTCGCTTGGAAAAAGCACCTCGAAAAATTGGTCGGAGACAGCCATTGCACGGAATTCATCGCAAGGAGGGCTATCCAGCAAATCAAAGATCGTGACGCAGCTGCCAACGAACCTCTACGAAAAAAGTCATACGAATCAGCACCATCCTCGCCGATTCTAAGAGCTCGAGCTGACCACCGAGGAGCATAAGAGAAAGATCATGCAAGTGACAAAAGCAGGTCTCCCAAGCTGTCACTTGCTACCCAGTCATGGAAGATGATCCCGACATCATCTTTTAAGGAAAAGAAGTTCCAAGACAACGGAATGCCCATCACCTCTGGAGGTACTATCCACGAAGCTCCTCGCCTATTAGCTCGGCTCTAAGCAGGCAACCAGGCCTCCCTCACCTCTATTAAAGACAAGTTACTTTTGATGTTACCCCTGCAACTCATCTTTTTTGTTCAATAAAGCAATGTAGTCACACATACATCAATACAAAGTTCAAGCTTTTCTTTCCAATGGAATGTTCACAAATGCAATTGACATCTCTTCGGACGTAGGCCAAACGGGCCACTTTCATCAACACGTCTCCGGACGTAAGCCAAACGGGCCACTCTCATCGACACGTCTCCGGACGTAGGCCAAACGGGCTGCACTCATCGACACGTCTCTGGACATAGGCCAAACAGGCCACTCTCATCGACACGTCTCCGGACGTAGGCCAAATGGGCCACACTAATCGACACGTCTCCGGACGTAGGCCAAACAGGCCACTCTCATCGACACGTCTCCGAACGTAAGTGAAACGGGCCACACTCATCGACACGTCTCTAGACGTAGGCCAAAAAGGTCACTCTCATCGACACGTCTCCAGACGTAGGCCAAACGGGCCACACTCATGACACGTCTCCAAATGTAGGCTAAACGGGTGACACTCATCGGCACGTCTCCATACATAAATCAAACAGGTCGCTCTCATCGACATGTCTACGGACATAGGTCAAACATGCTGCAACATGAGAAAAACATCCTTAAGAGGGACCCTGGCACTTATAAATTTTCCAAGGTAGACACACAATCAAGATACTGGCTGGTTACTCAAGCAGTTCACAAGTCAATATGCAAATTGAAGTTGAAAATATAAACTAAATTTCCAAGGCAAGCTGACCAACTAGCCAAGTTTAACAAAAAGAAGATAGTCAGATAAGACCAATTATTCTACACAAGAAAACATACTACAAAAGCTGAAAAGAAATGAAGGAGTCTTCATATACTCTGAGATGCCAGCAGGAGATCCCTGGTCTACAGCCTCTTCGGCGTCCGCCTGATCAGCCACATTCTCAACAGCTCCACCTGCTTGATCAGTGATGTCTGCCACTATCTCATCTGCTGCATCCTCTTCTGTTTTATCCTCTTCAGCTACCGTCTTTTCAACCACCTGCTCTTCAGCTCCTTCTATGTCCACGACATTAACCTGCTCACTTTGCATATAGTGCAAGTCAGAACAGAGCATCTCGACGTCTTCATCTCCAATAACATAGAAGATATCATTTCCATTTGTAGTCCAAGTAGCCCAACTTGTACGCGTTCATGGTAGCTTCGAACTAGGACTTTTCATCAGACTTGTTGTAGGCGCCAAATCTAGCCAGAAGCTTGTCATAACTAAAGAAGACGTCAGCATTCTTGCGCTCAAGACGGAATGAAGCATCTTTTTGACTAACCAAGTCAATAGCAGAAGAAGAGGCAACAACAGACGAGTTTCAGATAGTTTCAGCAGTAAGAGCTACTCATTTTTCAAGCAGATGAAATATTGTTTCCCTTTGTTTTTCCAAGGAAAGACTTGAGATTGTCTCAAGATCACCAGCCTGATGGATATGATCAACCAGCTTGAAGCAAACAAACGGGCTTGACAGGAGGTTCATCTTCAGCAAATCAGACACGTCTACATCCCATGTAGGGCTGGACTTGTCCACTTTGGGATCAGCCGCTGACATTGTAGAAGAACCCTTCACCCGGACAAATGACTCTCTCATCTTCTCAACCACCACCATCCTTAACTCTCAAAGGAGTCGACGATGCTGAATCAACTCCACGCTTGACTGCTCGTGACTCAACAGCTGGATCGCGATAGTTGAACGAATGAGCACACCTCCCAGTTCGATCTTCATCCCTTGACTAGTGCAGATGACTAGAACTTCAAAGAGGAATATCAACATCTTTTTACTTCTCGGCAAGCAGACCCCTTGCAAATCACGGTCTCCAAGCTTGTCTGTAGGAGACTCAAGTGGAACATCCCGAACATTGCGTATATCGTCAATCTTCTTACTATCTGCACCAACAAGATGTTTAAACCTTGCTGATGGCGACGGAACAGCTCTTACTTGAGTCTTCTTAGCAAAAGTGATCCTTGGCTTTTTCCTCAAAGGAGTCACATCTTTCACCAACGAAGTCGTAGCTTCATTTCTTGAAGACTTGACATATCGGCCTTCCTTTTTAAAAGGAGTCCGGCATAACACTCCTTTTGCCCAGCCAACAGATCATCATAGTCTAGACCATTCTGCTTCCATTTTTCAACATATTGGACATGGGGCAGACCACCAACTTCCTCTCGTGACTGACTCAGCTTCCACCAGCGACGACAACCAACCTGGTCCCACCTAGCTGGTCCTTGCCACAAAAAAGAGAAGACAAAGAAAAAAATATACGTGCTCAACTTACCTTGGGATGCACGATAACTCATCTCTTCGACAAGCAGTACAAATTCTCCAAGATCTCTCTCAAGCTAGAAAGTAAAGAAGTCAAGTTTGCGATGTGAAGAAGAGTGAAGAGAAGCCCTGCATTTATACAGGTTGGGCATTAGGTCAAGAAAGAATCGCAAGACTATTCCTATTGGGAACCCAACTCCAAGAACAAATAAAAGCCGACTCCAATTAGGAGCTCAAATCTAAGAAGGAAGCCCAGTTAAAGCTGAACAGCCCAACAGTTAATTCACACCTCCTCCATGCCACCATGTGCCATGCAGAGGGCATTTGTGGGAACCTAATTTTATGGGTCAAATATTTCTTTCCATTTGGGGAATATTTGATTTGGGGATTCTTGCCTTGAATAGGGATTTGATTCGCATTAAATCCCTAATTGATTTAAATCTCCTAAAATCAGAAAAATAATTTCTTTCCCAACAAGGATTATTTTTCCCCAAACCCTAACCCTCTGAGACCACTATAAAAGGATGGTCATGCACAAGGGTTGAGGTATGTCTGAACTCTCTACTGAAACTTTGCAGAAAATTCCTCTCACAAACCCTAGTCACCTCCTCTCTCTCTCTCTCTCTCTCTCTCTCTCTCTCTCTCTCTTTTACATAAGGCTCCGGCCGCCTGGTTTACACCATAAACACATCTCTGTACCCTAGTTAGCTAGTGTTTTTCTTACAAACTCTTGAACTAATTTAGGCATCGGAGGGCCTTTGGCCAACACCCCTCGGGTGTGACCCTCTTATTTGTTCTATTTTGCAGGGAGAAAGAGGCGGCGAAGAAGAGAGGAGAATCTTCCCAATCGAATATTCTCGTGGGAAAATTTGCTCCCATAGATAGTGCTGGTAGTTATCTTGAATTTGCAGGATTTGTTGTAAGTGCAGTTTGTAGGTCAAGAAAGAATCGCAAGAC